GGGACATGAAGGGTGCAGACGAATGACGAACCATTAAGCATCATTTCCAGAGATCATGCCAAATGAGACTTGAAATAAATCAAGTACTGAATCGGGGAACTCTTCCCTTCAAACGGTGTGAAGTTAATCAGATTGAATTTGGTCGGGTATGGTATTGAATCCCATTCCCTGGATAAGGACATTAATACCCGTCTCTTACTTCTTGAGCCTCATCAAAGCATTGATTTTGTCTTCAAGTTTTTGCATTTTCCCAGTCAATCGTCTTCATTCTTTCTGAATGATGTGCGTAAAGATAATTGATCACCCAGTGAGAGGTGCTATTGACCACCCCCCAATATCGTTATTGGGAGGATCCGTTAAACCACCCCCAGCGTTATTGCCATTGGGAGGTGTATCAGCCATAATGACTTCATCCACCTCTGGATCACTGTCATCTACAACATTCCGAGTGTGGTGACTGGATTCAAATCGCTGATTGGACTCAGGAGGTTGAGGCTGTTGAGTTAACGTTCTCTATTTGTTGGATGCCAACTTCATTTCTGTTTCACTCAGTCTCTAATTTCTTCACGTTGTTTGGCTAGAGCTTCCTGAAGTATTTGAGTGAACTGATCAGCAGTGTATTGTGAATACTTCTCTGATTTGTCCCGTGCTAGACCTTGTATCATCAGAAGCGATTGCAGAATAAATGTCGAGAATTCATCCTCGCGAGGACATTCCTTCTTGCATTCTCTATAGTCTCTGGTCTGATGCTCCTAATTGGAGTCGAGACATCCTTTGAGCAATTCTTGGATTGACTTTTCCCTTTCGGAGAAAGTCGGGATTTGATGTTCACTCGAATCGCGTTTAGACTTTTTTTATCAGCCACGTTGATGGTGACTTGGAATTCATCATCTTGAGCAGCTGATTTTCTTCCTCGAAATGTCTCGGCTTAGGCTTCGACGATACAGAGACTCTTCGTGGGATGCTTCTCGTTTAAACAATCACATCCTGATAATGCTGCTTTAACAGAGTCGCGCACAGGAACACCGAGGGTTTATTTCTCGAATAGAACTCTCTTTCGAAAATTATTCACTACTCCATTGATAATACGATTTATCGGTATGATTTCCAAAAAATCGTATCGTCTGTTGGCATGACCTCCAGGTATGACGATATCATTTGAATGCGTCCTTTTCTGGGGGTGTAAAACCTTGTTGGCATTCTCAGGACAATTATATTTTGTCTTTGAGCGACCAAGTTATGTTGGGGTCGCGACGTCTAAAACCACCCATTTGCGGGTATAGGGTCTTAACGGGCTCGAATGCTGACTTTGCATAAGTCCAGATTTTGGAATCCAAACTTGGCGGGGTTTCGGTGGTTTCTTTGTCACCGTTTCCTCCCTCCTTTCTCGTCTTTGTTGTAAGAGTAGCACAGTGCATGAACAGCGTTTGCACTGACGTTTTTGTATACGTTCTTTGAGGTTTGAACGAGCCCTTTTGACTGTAGTCCATCCTCTCCATCACTAACTTAGCAGAGATATGAGTGATGGTCGTTGAGACAACTGAACCACTCGAGCCTCCTCGCACTCTAGGTCGCGTGATATACGAACCGCCAGTCGATTTGTTCCAATGCCTTAGCCAATTGACGAAGCGTGGCGTTGACGCTGTCTCTGACGCGAGCTCTTTTCGTCAATGTCGGCGGGCTTTGATTCGATGACTCTTCAATTAGATAAAGAGCCATTGTGAGCAGAGGTGTTGCGAAATAGAAAATTCTCAGCAACAATCAAGCGAGAGTCTTCATTTTGTGCTTCTTTTGGCATGTAATCTTCCTCAATTGTGAGATCCTCTCGTACTTGCGAGATAATGAAGATCTTGAAGAGGATGATAGAAGATATTCCTCAACTTGGTCTGGTCGAATTCGTATTCGACCATGGATTCAACTGGAATCTGATCGGCTGCGACACGACGGTCTCGCAGCGAGACCTTGGCTCCCCTGTGGTCGCCAGTTTGTTTCGCCAAAAGTTGGTTTTTGTTGTCGAATTCATTATATCTTCGGTCGATTACAATAAATTCAAAGAAAAAGCCTTTTATAAGACTCTTTTAACAACAAAAAGAAAATTACAACTCTTGAGAAAATAAACGCAGGATCGTTGTTTGGATCAGCTGCTTTCGTGGGATCTTTGCGCTGTTGCCGGGAGCGCTTTGACTCGTGACCACAAATCACAGATTCTGATTGAACCGTGAGGGTTTATGATTCTGACTTCGTTTATCGAAGTGAGAAATTGAAACGATATCTTATCGATGTAGATAGTCGTTTCTCTTGAAATCAAGTCAAGCCTGATTATCAAGGATTGGCCGTAAGATCAGCACCTCTGCCCTCTCTCTGCTCGTCTGGATTGCTCTGAAGTGCTCAAAATGATCAGCCTTGATCTCTGCTGGCCGCTTGTGAAAATGGCTTCGGGGGTATTTATAACCTCTGGATGAACAGTGCTCACGAGACAAGCATTTGCTGTCTCGGCGGGCGGAGCATTGTTTTGCTGTCTCGCTGCCGAGATAGTGTTTGCTGTCTCGCGCCAGCGAGACAGTAAATTTTGCTGTATGGCGCCAGTGAAGACAGTAAATACTGGTCTCGGAAAATGTAGTTTCTCATTGTAACGCTGCCTCCACGTTTTAAATTCCCGTTATTCTGGCATTATCAGTGATTCTCGCCCACGACGTTTCCACGTTCTTGAACAGTTAGTGGCCACACGTGTCGAGCGTTGCAAAACAGTTTCTTGAACCATGATAACTGTTCATCGTATGCGAGACAGTAAATTCTGTCTCGCACCGGCGAGACAGTAAATACTGTCTCGCAGGCGAACACGACGCGAGAGACAGTGTGAAAACTGTCTCGCGGAAGGGCGAACAGTGAAACTGTCTCGCCTGGGCGAGACATGTAAAAGTCTGTCTGCGCGGGCGGGCGAGACAGTAAAGACTGTCTCGCCAGTGAGACAGTAAAGACTGTCTCGCCTGTGAGACAGTCTATACTTGTGTTCTTTTGCCTTTTGGGATGATTCCTATTGAGCTGTATTTGGATATCTTCAGCATTTTTTGACGCCTACAGTACTAATTTAATTTTTATATTATAATTTATCAAGATGAACATTTTTTATATAGGGTTGGTTTTTTTTCATAATTTTTTGTTTTGCAAAATTAAACTATAATTACAAAAATTAAACACTAATTATAAAATTCCTCATCTCTCTTTCTCTCTCCCCCGAATTCTCTCGCCCGGCTCTCTTGTTGGCGCGACGCCGGCGGCCGACGGCCGCTGGCGTCGCGCAAGAGAGGGGCGGAGAGATTTCGGGGAGAGAGATTGAGGGGGAGAGATAAGAGAGATTGAGGGGAGGGGAGGGGGGGGTACCTTGAGAGAGGGGGAAGAGAAAGGACGACGGCGGACTCCAACCGAACCGGCGGCGGCGGGTTGTTGAGAAGAGAACTGAGGAAATGGAGGGGGTCTGAAGAGGGGGGGCGGCGCGGGAGGGGGGCGGCGGGCTCTGGGAGAGAAGAGAGCGGGGAATGAGAAAGGGGGGGGGGACGGGTGCTGAGAGGCTCGATCCTCGTCAGTAATGACCCTAGGGGGGTATTTATAGCCTCTGGGATACTTTAACTGAAAATACAATCATGTAAATAAGTTAAGGCTGCGAGATAGTGTTTACTGTCTCGGCGGCCGAGACAGTGTTTGCTGTCTCGGCCCGCGAGACAATAAATACTATCTCGGAAAAGGCAACTTCCTGGCAGTTTTTTATGTAACTGCTATCCCACGTTTCAAACTCCGTTATTTTGGCAGTTATTCACGTGATTTTCGCACACGATGTTTTCCACATTCCTTGGCAGTTAATGGACCTGTGTGTGGCGTTTATCAAGTGATTTTTGACCATTTCAAAGCTGTCTCGCTGGCGAGACAGTGAACACTGTCTCGCTGGCGAGACAGTAAATACTGTCTTGATTTTTCTAAAACAGTGTGCGATTAACTCTTGTGATTCTTTGAGTGATCTTTTCTATGTTTGGATATCTATTAGCATTTTTTGACGCCTAGGCTAATTAGCCTCTCTCGGTCAATTCGGGCGCGGGCTGCCCAAAAATTTTGGGCGCCCGCGCCCGAAATTTTTTTCCCACCAAAATATTTAGCGACGGAATTTACCGTCAGTAAAAAGATTTTTAGCGACGGAATTTCCGTCGCTAAAAAGATTTTTATTGACGGAATATATTATTGTCGGTAATGTTTTAGCGACGGAATATTTCAATCGCTAAAACAAGATTTTCCGTCGGCAAATGTATTTATTCCTACGGACATATAGCGACGGAATTTCCGTCGCTATATGTCATGTTATAGCGACGGAAATTTCCGTCGCTGAATTTCCGTAGCCAATACACCATTTTCTAGTAATGTGAGTTAACCCTCCATAATTTGTCAAACATAAAAATGTGAGTTAACCCTCTAGAATGATTAAAATGAGTTAACACCTCAAAATAAGGGGTTTACTAATACTACTATTTAGAAGGATTAAGAGTTAACCCTTCTAATTATAAAGAAAATAGTCAAAATCATTGTTATTCCCAAATACTAAAACTGATCACAATGGCTAAAATAAAACTTATTTAACGGATTAATAATTTAGTCCTTCAGATTATCGAATGGGCTAAATACATTAATCATTCTACTTGATTAAAAATGTGACAAACATTTTAGTCTAAACAGAAAAACATGAAAAACAAAAGAAAGTAGAAAATTTAGAGCCTTAGTTGCTCCTTCTTAGGCTTTTTCTCTGTTGATATATACTATCTTTTTAATTACATGTCCTCGTGTAGTTTTTAGGACTTTAACCTTTTGCCAAACGGGACCATTAATAGAAGGATTAATGTGCTGTTTAGACACAGACACAAACTGCAAGTTTAGTTTCCAACAAGGGATACTAGCATATATAGTAGCGATCTTGGTAAGAATACTTTAAGACAATTCAAAGCTTAATGGGGCTCCGTATCACGTTCTTAGCTGAAGAAATTAGACTTACAAACGACCCAAAAACAAAGAGTCATATGCTCTTAATTACCTTGGTTATCTTTAATCCACTGATGTGATTAATTATTTGTCAAACATGCTGCATGACTCATAGATATACGAACTTCAAATTCATCTAAACAAAACAAGCGTAGTTGAGTTCATCTCCTCATGCTCACGCTTCTCTAAACCTTCACAAGGCAATGCCACAGTGAGATCGAGATTCAATTCGGGCACCTCCTCCACATAACTCGATGCGTCCGACACAACATCATCCTCAACTTCTCTCTCGTTCTCGTTCTTCATGTAACAGGTTCTCATTGCGTTTTGATTCACCGTGTGGTTGTTTGGGTCGATTCCCATGCTCTCGAGCTTTCCCTTGATATGTGAGTTCCAGTAGCTCTTGATCTCGTTATCTGTTCGTCCAGGCAGCCTACCGGCTATCAGAGACCACCTATTGCCGAGCAGGGCATGGAGTTTGACGATGAGGTCTTCTTCATCCTCTGAGAAGTCTCTTGTCCGGCCGACCTCACCACTCTTTCTGCGTCGGAGTCGCCCTAAATAATGAAGTTTAAAGAAAAATGACCAATTCATATGTACTTATATGTGCACATGTTGAAGTATATATGCACGAAGGGTTCTGCGTCTGTGTTATGGAATTGACCAAATATATGATTTTTTGTTTGTTTGTTTGTTTATAATAAAAGCTTATGAACATGTAGAACAATATAAAAGAATTAACTAGATCCTTTGATTGTATCCATATTTTTATATTGATGAGTGGACGTAAATAGATCGGTTATTAATTAAACACTTCCCCTATAAATAGATCGGTTATTTGTGCTCCCAAACTATATATATAGAACGTATTCGGCCATGAAATATATATGCAAAATGCAGCACAGTTAGTGAGTCGTATGAGAAAGATCGAAGGACCTTCCGCCCTGGGGAGTGATGACCTCCCGCATCCTTCTCCTTGAGCTTGCGCGAAGCCAATGAGCTTCCGATCCTCTTTTTTCGACGTGGCCGCCCATTTGGAAACGCCCTTCTTGCTGCAACGAGGATTCCTCATCGAGGGAGGTGCTCGTGCTTGAACTTGCGTAAGGATAAGGAGAGAGATATCTAGACGTTATTTATCCTGTATATAAAGAGAGGAAGTCGATCTTTTGCGCGTGAGGAACGAACAAGGGATGAATTGAAGGGTGGTGCTGACTTTGTAGGCAGAGAAAGACTGGTGGTTTGAGAACCATGCATGTGTTGATTGCATACGATGCATGAAAGTTTGTTAGTTGCAGTTACAAGCCCCTCTTCTTTTTTCTTAGTTAGGAATAATTACTACTTAATTATCTAATTAAGCACTCTTAACGTACGTCGTCTAAACTGCTAGCCAAACATTCAGGATCCTTCGCCACTTTCAACCTCCGATGTTCCGCCAACCTCCTTAATTTGGATGTGATCGTTCGAGCGCAATTCCATCCAACCTCCAACATATTGTTTGCCTAGAATAAATACAAAACACAAACACTAGACAAACAACATTAGTTGTAAATTATTTGTTATATTGTTTGCCTAGAATAAATACAAAACACAAACACTAGACAAACAACATTAGTTGTAAATTATTTGTTAATCATCATACAAACACTAGACAAACAACATTAGTTGTAAATTATTTGTTAATCATCATCAAAACAAAAGGACCCAACAAACCTTCCATTAATCAATCAACGGCTATAATTAAGACTGAATCCCGAAATACCCTTTAATACCCAAGAAAATATTAATTTCCATACATTGCAAAAGAGAATTAACATGAGGTGCAACATATCTAGATAGGACAAAATAGAGGGAATTGATAGGAAATATCAAATCTTTGCCATCTAAAAGAGCAAATCAAATCGCTGTTTGGTTAACCCAACACTGTGTTGGCCGAACAAAAATCCCAACTGCTTAAAGTAGACATAGAAAACAAAAGCTACCAATCAAATTAATTAAGAAGCCTCGCCAGTTAGTTGTACATCCTATTCCAACCACCAACCCAACAGACACGTGCATGAGCTAGCTAGGCATCTTCTTTTTCTTTTCTTCTTTTTTTTTTTTTTTTGGTCCTTCGCTTGATTGACCAATTGGAAATTATCTCCATGTTAATTAGGATCAATTATTCGTAAAGATGATGGGGATGAGGATGATATAATTTATCGAATCAAATCAAAATGAAAGAGCACTTGTAGAGTCCCCAGTAATGGTAGAATTAATATCAATGAAATTGAAAGAAAAACTTTATAGATGATTATAACACCAACAAGGATTCGTGGATTCTATTGTTGGACAATTAATGAACAATGCATAAAACATGACGGTTAAAATGGATGGACTAGTCGATATGAGAAATAAAAGACGCATTTGTGGAGGTAAGAGGTTGATCCTATTAAGAATAGAATGAAATAAAATTGGTTGAGATCGTTTGAACATGTGCAACAGAGGTCACAAAATGCACTAATTATTAGAAGTATAAGATAATTATAATTGATATAATAATGAAGTAAAGAGAAAAGTTAAGGAGAACTAAAAGCAGACATAACAGAATTTAATTGGAAGCGGTTAAGAATGATATAATAGTAATTAAGGTGGTAGAGGAGACCGCCCGAGGCATAACTTAGAACACACAAATAATGCGGTCTAATGTAAAGAAAAGGAGTGCTATGCTATGTGATGGGAGCGTGCATGCGTTCTTAATGCACGAAGGTTGAGGTCCTAATTGAGTCAAGTAGATTTAAGTCAACTGAGAAATTATCCGTGAACTGTAACACCTTATCACAATGTCTCACACGTCTTGCACGCGAATATAAAATTCTTTAGAGGAATCTCTCAATCTGTGAAACTATGCATGAAGTATGGAGATTCACATGTGTTTAAAATATAGATTTTAAAGTTGATGATTATATGAATACAATCGTGTGATTACATTGACATTACTAATAAACACATGATACAATATTCTTATTGCATTGATAACTATTACACTGATATCACGTACGGATTGGTTGCGGGCCGCACAATGAGGAAGATAGAGTCAACTGTGATATTAGTGGGCTAAGATTAAGCTAGATTAAGCCATGTTACTTTAATCTATATGTACTACTATAACGCTAAATTATGCTTATCTTTGCACATGTTATGTTGTCAAGGACAAAAATTTTGCTCAACGGATGACTTTCTTCCTCTAGTGGCAGAATGGGGAGTGATCCACATTCTACGTACAACTTGTCAACAGATTCTAAATTTCATAACCTCCAAGAAATATTATTATCGATCTCATTCTCACGTTTTAAAAGACAATGATCACGTGAACGTAATGTTTTGTTGGCAGTGAAGAGGATCCAAATAATCATCTAAAATTAAGGGACTGAAAATATTTCTATATGTGTGTGTCTTGGTTATAGGTAATATTGGGGGCAGATAATCAAGCATGCATTATATCTTTGTTAGAAGATTTTTTTTTTTTAATAACCATGTAAGATATCCGAGGTGAAATTTTCAGATGAACATGTATTTCTTTATTAATTTATCTGTCTTTTTCCAGACTCAATTATGGTCATCTCCATAGATAATTTACAAAGGTAAATTTGACACTCTCCTGGGTGGAATTCTCAACGAAAATAGATAAATAAATAAGTAGTTTATAAAGACCTCTGCAGATTCCCAAAAGTTACCATTTTTGTTGGTAGTTGGAGTGAGATTGGAAACCAACCAGACAGAGATACAGTAGTTATTTGTTTTCTTCTGCTATTTCCTCAAACCGTGAATGGTGAAAGCTAAATCTTATTCATTCATGTAATAGTGTAGGGCATCCCGTCCTCTTCTTACCTCAGCCGTAGACAAATATCTACAGATAAAATGAAATTAAAATAAACAAATACAGGGTAGACCGCAAGACTATCATGAGCTTTGGAGATGTTTAATAAAAGGACAAATTTTCGAAACCAACCTGTTTAGAAACTTAATTACAAAAACCGATCTATTTCTAAATTAATTATCAAACTCGTCTCAGTTTGTTTCAGCCAGTTGGTTGAAACTGGATCGATTTTGACGAAAAACATTACAAAACATCACCCGTGAAGTTTTGATCCTCTTAACCAAGTTAGTTACAACGCGCTTAAACTTCACGGGGTTTGAAGTCCCGTGAAGTTTTGTAATTTTTTTCGCCAAAATTGACCAAGTTTCAGCCAACTGGCTGAAACTTGGTCAATTTTGGTAATTAATTTGGAAATATGTCGGTTTTTGCAATTAAGTTTCTATATAAGTTGGTTTTGAAAATTTATCCTTAATAAAAATATCATGAACTTTTTTATTAAAGAATATTATTGTAGATTTTTTTTCACTTAAAAATTATGTCCGACACATCACCCATTTCGCCTGTCATACATTCCCAATAGTTATTGATATTTGCATTTTATACATCTTATGTATTATCCTCACCGTTTTATTTTAATTAATGCTGTTGACACAATTTTCAATAGTTCATAATATGTTTCTTCAACTTGGGCGCGTTTGGACAGAACTTTTTTTTGGGTTTTTTGGTGAAAGCCTGACACTTAGTCAGGCTTTCACCCAAAAAACACCCAAAAAAATACGTTCCAAACGTGCGAATTCATGATAATTCCTTCTATTAGAAGAAATCACTGTAGTCTTGTGAAAACCCCCAATACTCATGATAGTTTTGTGAAATTAACCCAATAACATAGGCCCAAAGATAGTTCAAAATCTTTCATCAGAAGGGGTTCAATCGAATTCTTCATTTGTTAACTGAGGTGACAGCGAGATCTATGTTACTGCTGCGGAAAGATGAAAGAATATGAAAGCTTATACAAAGAATTCTTACATTGTAACAAATATCATTATGCCACTACAATTGTTAAATAAATTTATTTTATGAATTTTATAAGACTGATAACAAATGAACATAATATCTCCCATCACAAGCAATTGTTATACCAATGCTCATAATATGTGACTAGTTTCTATAGAGCATCACTGTATTAAATAGAAATAAACGTAAATGTTCTACATTAACTATCCTCTTTGCAGATTTAAAATATACACGCCTTTCAAAAGTAATCGATGGATATGTAAATTTGAAATATACACTAAAATCAAATTATAAAGAATAGATTGCATCATGTAATTTTGTAGGTTCAGAAGTTCTACGACTAATTGGGGATGACATTATACTGCCTCTAATGTTATTGATTCCTTCTCTTCTGAGTGCCCATGGATCTACACCAGCTTTATGAGCAGCTATCACCCCAACAGCCTCCCAGTAATTGGATACTTTTACCTGCAACAAGAGATTATGATACACATAAAAAATTTATTTATTCCTTTACAACATTCAACCACAAATTTTTTTTAAAAAGTATATAGATTTTATACTGCTTCGATCCCAAGTTTTTCAGGGGTATCATCCAAGACAGTTCCATTCTCTTCAACGGCTATTATTAAAGGCTGCAAAAGAGTTGCAATTACAACTTTGTAATAAAATTTTCCACAAATTATGCGTAAATATAAGAGCAATTTCTGCAGCTAACGTCTGTTGCAAATTGACATCTAGAAACACAAGTTACCAGAAGAATAGTTAGAAAAATATACATTCGTTGGTTCACTGTTGATACCGAGACTGTGTACAAGAACATCACAAAAGTAACACTTGCTTATCAAGATACGTGAACAAAAATTTGTAACAATCTTGCCTAGCTATGATATTCCCAGATTTATTTCAATAAGCCTCAGGTCATATTTCAGGGATCAAGCCAGAATCTTGTGGAAGCAAGTTTGAAACCTATTCACTTCGTTGGTCAAGTTAGATTGGAGTGATATGTGAGTTTATAGGTTAGTTCAGGACCCAAACGAGCCTGCGACTGTTATGGTTCTTATCTGTATATTTGTCAGTGTCTTTTTTTCTTTATTTTATTTTATTAATTTTTTTTTGTCAAGATAGTGCATCTTTCGAAGTTCAGTCAGCTTTACTAACGTGGCCGAAGCAAGAATGTTACAGCGGAAATTTGAGAATCCAAGTTAGATCAAAGGAAAAGATGCTTCCTAGGACAAGAGTTAGACTAGAATGGAGAGTTTTTCTTCCTTACTTCTTATTTTTTTTATTTATTTATTGTGGGGGTGGGGGTAGGGGGAGGGTTTTTGGAGGGGGGGTACAATGAAGCTTTTCTACTAAGAAAGACAAACTTTATCCTACTCTTTCAATCAAAATACACTAACTCATTCCCGTTATGATAGGACCACAAGCATTGATACGCCACTTTCAGCCTAAAAAAGAACACATTGAGATATATTCGAAGCATGATCAGGTAATACTAGCCATGAGAACGATGCTGTATTAGGAAAGAATCAAGTGATGGTCATAATTCTAAGAGTTGAATGTCTACCGTTAAGAATGAGCTAGTGTAGGCCCCATAAAGAAGCCTAAAGTTAGGTATCCTTGAACCCGTTGATTAACCTAAACATATTACTGTTGATGAACCCATTACCTAAAAACATAGATTTGACATTGTTGCTCCCAATAGTGGAATAAAGATAGCAACATATGGTTTTAATGACTGACATGAAAATCTTTATTTTTAAACTGGTTAGCGGAGCTACGCCAGGATATGACTATTGCACAGTGACAAGAACTAGAGGAAATGAATGAATTTTCACAAAACCTTGGCAAGACCCCATCAACCTTGTAAATCCTATATGTTACACCCCAGGCTTGCAAGTCCGTTGGCGCAATGTAGCTCTGGAATCTACTGAGTGCTACAAGTTGTCTGACTCAAACCACTGCCAAAATGATTAGTTATTGTTGCACTTGGTTCTCATGACTCACCTTATAACTTATGTAAATTCCCTATATGGGACAAGTAAATGGGGTATCACAATTAACCCACTTCAAGTACATGATGTTCTCATCGCGGCATGATAATGGTTCATCCTGGGATCAACACCAAGTGATGTGGATTGCAAAACTGACCCCTACAAGTTCTAGAGGTGGCTCTCACAACTCTCACACGATGTTGCATTTGGTTCCGCATATTCAACTGGCTGCCTACTATGATATTACTTGTCACAACCTAGACCTGCAAGCCTTGGGCATAATGTAAGCCTTGGAACCTATATGGAGTGGAACATGTTGTTTGGCTCAAACCAAACCGTTGCCAACTTGACCAACCATTGTTGCACTTCATTCCCATGACTCACCTTGTAAACTCATCGATAGCTTTGTAAACGCCCGATGTGGGATAAATAATTGGGGTATCACAATAGAAGACACCCTGGAAAATTTTGAAATTATACTAAATCCTTCTAAAATATTTTTCACTGATAGAGGAATCCTTTTTACATATCTTTGCCAAAAACGAATAATATAGAAGTAGAATGACTAGCAAGCTGGAGTCTCGACTTGAGGCCCTATCTGTTTTCTGAGAGAGAGAGAGAGAGAGAGAGAGAGAGAGAGAGGGGGAGGGAGGGAGGGAGGGA